GAGATAAAACTGGGTGTTATTTTAGCTACTCGGTTTGTGGTAACTTGTTACCCAGCAGTAGAGAACTAATGCAATCTGTGAAGCAGGCCAAACTTAGCTGGATAGAGACAAGTGTTGGTGTTGGGTGGACATGTGGGAATGCTGGTGACAGCGCTGCTTATGCTAAGGTAGAGCAGTGAGGTCACGGTGCGGGTAGTTAGTCTATAGTACGCATCCCCCACACCCCTGCAATTCCATATCCAGGTAGAGACGCAAACAGAATTGACACAGTTGCATGGGACATGCATTTCACTGCAGAGTTCTTTATGGTGGTGAGGGGGCAGAGGCTGTTGGAAGCAACCTAGGGGTCCATCTCAGGGCTATTGGGAAGAAGAATGAGAATGGTTCACAGCACGGAGAATGCCGTAGCAGCTAGGAGAGCAACGGGGATGGGCCTTAAAACGATGCTGAGTTAAAAAAAAAAAAAAAGAAAGAAACAACATGAGAACCAAAATACTACCATTTGCAGAAACAAAAACCACCTAAAGATAATACTCATTTTGCAGCAGCATATACAAGGCCGGGGGGGGGGGGGGGAAGACTTGTTAGCACATTGCCTATGTAGAGGAAGGGATGGGAGAGAGTCCAGAGATGAAAGAATAAAAACACAAGGGAGGAGTCTTATATGGACCAAAGGCAATGTGCAGAGTTTAAGGCGACTGAAGAAGAAAATAAACCCACTCGAGGTCCAGGGGAAGCTGAGGTGCAGCACTGTCCACTCCTCCAGAGGGAATAGCTCCGTTGGGCAGGTAGAGAAAGAAACCAGGAAAGCCGCTGAGGTGGGAGCAGCAAAGGACAGACTGAGTCTGCCTGATGGTGTCACATCTTTATATTAGTAATGACTTTCAACATGAGTGACAGCCCAGCTCAAACTGTTTTTTTTAAAGAGTTTTTATTGATTTTTAGAGAAAGAGAGAGAGAGAGAGAGAGAGAGAGAGAGAGAAACATCAATGTGGGAGCAACACATTGATTGGCTGCCTCCAGCATGCCCCCCGCCAGGGATCAAGCCCACAACCCAGGCATGTACCAGGAATTGAACCAGCAACTCTTCAGTGCACAGGATGACGCCCAACCGAGCCAGGGCTTGTTGTGGTTTTATTTAAAAAACAACAGCCCTGGCCGGTTTGCCTCAGTGGATAGAGCATCGGCCAGTGGACAGAAGGGTCCCAGGTTTGATTTTGGTCAAGGGCACGTACCCTGGTTGTGGGCTTGATCCCCAGTGGGGGGCATACAAGAGGCAGCCAATCAGTGATTCTTTCTCATCATTGATGTTTCAATCTCTCTCTTCCTCTCCCTCTCTGAAATCAATAAAAATATATTTAAAACAACAACAAACACTAAGACACTAATTTATTCAAATGACTGAAAAGTACAGAATTATAGGTAGATTCTGGTGCTTAAATAATGATGCCCCCTGATGCCTTTCTGATTTGCTTTCTTCTGGGTTGGTTTCATTCTTAGGCTGACCACACGGAGGACAGACATGGTTGAAGCAATGCCACCTGTGTGGGGTGCCTTTCCAAAGGTTCCCCCAAAGGCCTCAGGGCTGACTCTCTTTGGCCCGTGAAAAGTCGCAGACCCATGCCTGAACCAACCCTTATGACTGATGACCACACCAGGGTGGCACAGCCACCTGGGACAATAAGGGAATTCTGGCACAGGGAATGGCATGAGCAAAGACCCAGCACCATGAAGCTGGAACAGCAGCACAGCGGGCTGCCCGGAGCAGGCATAGCAGTTCAGGGTCAGCAGGCACCTTCAGCGCCCCCGATCAGGGGACAGCATGATGGGATCTGCAATTTGCAGGCTTCACGTGGCAGCTAATGGTGGGTGGCCTGGTGGGAGTGGTGACATTCAGGCCCTCTAGCATTTCTTCCCAGGTCCTTCTCCCGGTAAAAGAGCCCCTTTCCCTGAGAGCAAAGAGGCTAGCCTGCTCAGAATGTTTTCAACACAAACATCTGGGGGTGGGCCCTCCAGGTGTCCTGGGTCATTGCAAGAAAGAGCTCTTGTGGAAGCAAATCTATAAACTCAGTTGCCAGGAAAGTACTTAACTGGCCTCTATTCATCCTGCACCAGGCGGCTTCAGAGAGAGAATGGTCATACCTCCTCGACAATAGCCTATTTGGGCCAGATCCAGGGTCTGGCTTCTCTGGCACCTAACCACCAGCCTTCCTGCCCCACCCGCCCACAGCAGCTGGTGTGTGGCTGCTGGCATTGTCTCTGGTACACAGGGGCCATGCTGGGCTGGGCAGGGCCACGGTGGGGGCCACATGGCCTTTCTTTATGCGGCCCCCACAACAACTCCCACCCAAATCACTCCTCCCCGCTGCCCGGAGTTTTGAACACAGTTCTCGCCCTCTCTCTGGCTCTGCTGGGCAGCGTGGTTATGTAATGCGCAGCCAGCCCCCCAAGGCCCTGCCCCCAGCCTGTGGGCAGAGAATGGGCAGTGCTGCTTTCCCCAGAGTGGAGCTGCTCGGTTCTGGCCCGCACCTGCCTCAGAGCAGGAAGTGGAGCAGAAGGAAAGGTGAATTAGTTAGAGTGCTCTCAGCTGCAAGGAACAGAAGGCCCAATGGGAAGGGTCTTGAACAAGGAAGGAGATGCGTCTCCTGCACGAACAAGCCCCGAGGTACAACAGCCCAGGGCCAGTCCGCTCAGTGCTGCAGTGACAGCCACAGAGGCCGGTGTCATCTGCATTCCATGCTGCCCTCAGTGGGCCAGTTCTGCTCTTGGGCCAGTCTCCCTCGTGACCACCAGCTTGCTGCCACTGCTCCAGGCATCACATTGAGACATGACCACACCCAGCAGAGGGACCACCTCTTCCTGGATAGTCTTTTTACTAGAGTTAGGGAACTTTTCCCAGAATCCCCGTAGCAGCTTCTGTCCTATTTCACTGGTCAGAATTGCGTCACACCCATTCTCGGTCAGCCTCCAGCAAAGGGCACAGAAAAGCCATGACTGGCTTAAGGGCAGGAACGACCCCCACAGCACGGGCTTCTGATACTCCAGCGTAGCCCGGCAGCATCTGCTGCACCAAGACAGAAAGGTTCCTCCCACCCAGAGATCGGTGGAGAGGGAATTGGGGCTCTAGTCCTGCCTTCTCCACCAGTCACTGCCTGACCCTGGACACGTCAGGCCCCCATCAGTCTCCCACCTGGCAGGCATTCTCTCTTCACACCCTGATTTGGCTGGGCGGCAATGTGCCCAGACAGGGGGTGGGTCATCACTCCGTAAGCAGTTGTGGCAGCAGCTCTGCCCTTTGTTAATATCTGCCTGGGCAGCCTCCACTGCAACTAGGGGTAACCAGGTGAGCTATTCCCAGGCATGAGAAAGAAGGGGACCCCTCTGGGATCTTTCTGGGAAAGATTTCTTCTACAAGGGAAGTCCCCCCGCCCTTTACTCAGACATGCCAACCTCATGCTTTGACGTTACTGGACTGTACCACAACCCTGGAACCATATAGATTTGTTATATGAGTAAAATAAACTCCTGTTCAATTAAACCCCCATCTGTTGTGGTTTCTATACTTGCAGGCAAACGTGCCCTAACTGACACAGAGCTCAGTTTCTGCATCAGTGAGGTGACAAGAATGGCTCTGAGGATGGCCATCCTCCCTGAGTCTGGTCCTCTGTGGAGTCTTCCAGAATGTCTGTGCAGTGCTATGCAATAGGAACAAAAGGCATGCCCCTGTGTAATTTCAGATTTCCTAGCAGCCACATTAAAAAGAAAACACAAAGAACAGGTAGCATTAGTTTCAATAATATAATTTAACCCAATATAGTCAAAATATTATTTCAACATGTAATCAATATAAATTAATGAGATTTTATGATATTGGTCCATGAGACAATGTATGACAATAATTAGACATTAATGAGATATTTTACTTTCTTTTTTTCATCCCGACTCTTCAGCATCCACACATCTCAATTTTTCTGCCCATATTTCAAAGGCTCAACAAGCTACTGTGTTGGACAGCTCAGGCCTAGTGCCTGTACCTCTGGTTATTGGGCTGGTAGCAGCTGGCGTTAGGTACATCAAGGACTCATTTATGACAAAGAGCAGGAAACCACCAGCCCCTGCTGGTCCCTGGCTGTGTGTAGGACAAGTGAGAGTCCAGTTTTTTCCCGGTCAGGGATCCTCAGTGGATATGAGCACCTGATTGTGTTTGCATCTCAGAGTCCAGAGCTGTGGGCTCAGTCCTGGTGGGCAGAAAGGCCCTAGCTGCCGGCTTTGGGGCGGGGAAAATGGCAGCAGCCCCCCGCCCCCCCCAAGCCGGTTAAGGGTAAGAGTCCCAATGGACTATGCCAGGCCAAGAAGGAAATGTTAAAAGCCTGTGCCTGGAACATCCTGCCTCTGAAAAATTGGGTGAGCTCAGAGCAGGAGCCAGTACACGGCTTCTCTCTCAGAAAATGGATAGAAACCGTTGCTCAGGCTTTGGAGGCTGAGAATCAGAAACTCCAGGAGGAATGAGCTCAGCTGGGGGGGAGGCAGGGGGAATGGGTTTGATCTTGTAGACCAAAGGGGAACAGTGGGGAACAGGCCAAAAGCGGAGCAGAGGAGGACAGGCGGCCGCTCCCATGGCTGTGACCCGCTAGCTTCTGTCGGAAAGTGGGAGCAGCTCAGGAACATGCTGAAGGTAATGACAGAGCGGGTGGGGGAAGGCGGTGGAAGGGAGAGGAAGGGAAGCTGGGCTGCTGCAGGAGCGTGGCAGAGGGAAGGCCTGTGTTGCTGGAGCTCACAAAAGTGGCTTTGGCCTGGAGCTTTCAGAACCAAGGGCAGTGGCCTAGGGACAGCAGCTGGGGAGAAGCACTCTTTGGTCCAGCGAGCCCTCCCCGCAGCCCTCGGCCTCTCTCCCCACCTTTCAGACAGAAGACTGCCGAGGGAACCAGAGAGGGAGCGCACTGGCCTGGCCTCCCCTGGGAAGGCACAGCCCAGGCCTCCAGGGTCTTGTGGACTTTGCCCACCCCCACGTAAACTCCTTGCTCCGCACTGTAAAAGTTCCGACCACTGGCCGTGGCCGAGCAGATGTCCCTGACGTTGGCCCATAGCAACACTCCTTTTTCTTAGAGGGGGTGTGGGATCCAGGAGCTGAGAGTACCCTTCAGCCAAAGTGTGTGTCCTCTTACCTAACCTCCCAATAATCATTCAAGGTGAGGATCTGCCGGAAGCCGGTCCATCCTTGCTTGACACAGTCGCTGCAGGGAAGAAACATCTGCACAGCATATGTTTCAAGGGACCTGGCGTATATGGCATACTGTTCTTAATATGTTTTCTCACCTTCTTGGCGCTATGTGTTTTAACCAAAGTCACCTCTCCGAGAAAGATTGTTTCCCCAGGTAGAGATTTCTCCCTGAAGTTAGGGAGGGAATAAAACCCCTTAACTAAATGCCAGGCGGGTAGTTAATCACTTTAACTATGAACAATCACCCTTAAGCTACATAATCTTTACTCCCTGGAATGGAGATAAGAAACACCCTAACCTTTGGAATAGAAATTGACAGGATTAAAATCAACTGGTATAAATACAGATGTAACAAGACAATAAAAGACAGAACTTGGCTGGAGATCCTGGCTAGAGATCCTGGCTAGGCTGCTGATCAACTGAATACTGTCTCCGTGTCATTCCTTCTTCGCCGACTCCGTCTACACCTTTGGGGACCCCTGGACCTGCTGAGGTTGGACCCCAAAAAGGATCCTTCTCATCTGCTTTATAGATGAGGAAACAGAGCCTCAGGGAGGCCAGGGTCACCCTGTGTAATAACCAGGATCGGTTTAGTTATGCTGCTGTAACAAACAGCTCCGAAATCATAACTTAACACAAATGTTTACTTCTTGCTCCCAGGGGCTGGCGGGGGATCTGCTTCATGAAGATCACTCGGTGACTCAGGCGGATCAAGGCTCTGCTCTCCGGAACAGTGGCCTCCTCAGAGTCCTCCAGGCGACCCAGCTGGAGGGTGGCATCCCGGTTCTCTTGCGCTTTAGTGTGACCCTGCCTAACTAGAAAGGAGTGGAGAAGCTTGGGAGAGCAGCTGGGGTGTCTGATAAGCCACACCCAGTTGAGAAGGGGGAGCAGGATTTTAACTGAGTGTCAGATATGGCAGTCCTTGTTCTACAGTGTAGACAGCCTTTACTTCAGCATCATGCAACCCCAAACCATGGTCATGCTGGTTGTGAGCTCTGTGGATATGCAGATTCAAGGGGCATTAACACCAATACCCCTAGCTGCTCTCATGAGCTGCCTCCTTAGTCTACCTATCATCTCTGCAAGCCAAGGGCCCTTTCAGGCCAAGGGCAGTCCATGACCCTACTTACCCCACCCCCACACTCCCTCTGGGCCTGCCCTCACACCTGCCAGCCTGCACACCGTCCCTGCTTATTCCCATGACCCTCAGCTGCCCTCAGGTTTCTGAGCCTCATTCCTGTGGAATCTGGAGCCCCAGTCCTCCCCCACCCCAGAGCCTGCCCAATCCTCCCTGGCAGCAGCCTTGCTAACAGCCTTGCTAATCCATTAATTATCCTCTTCCAGCGGAGGAGCCTGGTAATTGAATAAAAATATATTAAAAAACAAAACTCAGCCCCCTCCTTTAATTGCCTGCCTGCCTTCTTGCTGTCTTGGTTTCCTCCCATTCTCTCCACATGCTGGGCCCTTGGTTCTCTGCCTCTGGGCTCCTGATTTCTTCCTGGTCAGCAGTGATGTTTGTCCCCACCTTCTGCAGAACTGGCCATAGGGTGAGGGTCAGGGAGTGAGTGTCACAGAAGCCTGCAGGCAACCTCACTCCCAGCCTGATCCACTGTGGGAGGCTGAAGGATGATAAAGCAATTTGCCTTGGAACTAATGGAGAGGTCCTGGGCCAATGGGAGAGTTCAAAGGGGAGCAGATTTCCATTTAAACAAAAAGCCACACCTCATCTGCAGAGCTGGCCAGAGGAGCTGCTGCCTGGAAGGGCTGTTGGGAGCCTCAAAAGGTGCCTGGAATGTTCCTGCCTCACCGCCCACCTGAAGGGCTTTCTGACCTCACTCAGCCTTTGGGTCTGACCTGATTCACCACTTCTTTACTCGGCATGTCACTAGCCTGGCCAGGTACAGATAGAATTTGGATGAAAAGAGAAAGTTTCAGAAAAGTGGGTGTAATATGATCCCATTGCTATAATAAAACTCCTTGAGAGTGGTATACATATGTTTGCAAATACATTTTTAAGAGATCTAGTAAAATGCTCAACAAACTGATAAGAGTAGTTATTTTGGGAGAACTAGAAGGGAAGACTTACATTTTATCTTTTCTGTTTAAATTATTTTATCAGGAAGGGAAGCAAGTGAGCATTTGTCCTCCATGACTCTGTGACCTCTGACAAGTGGCTTGACCACTCTGAACTCAGTGGCCTCATCTGTAAAATGGGGCTTGTCGGGAATCCTTTTTCACTCTACATTAGGACTGTTAGTTGAAAGCAACCTAAACCCAAGCTTGTGTAATAAAGGGTGTCCCAAATTTCACGCAAGAAGTAATTTTGATAGAAAACACAGGTTTATAATTAAAAATTGTAAAATTTTTATTTACTCATAAAGTATACAGTATAGGGTTATGTATAGAATATGATATTAGGTAAATGGCCTCCACAGCCTTGCTAGCACATACGCACTCTTTTGTTGAAATTTTCCATGACCATTTTGCATAAATGTGGCTGAATTTTGATGAGGCTTATTTTCATCTTGATGGCTTGGTTAATCGACAAAATTGTCGCATTTGGGGTTCAGAAAATCCACGAGTGATTGTTGTGAAACATGCATCCACAACGTGTCACTGTTTGGTGTGGATTTTGGGCTGGAGGCATCACCGGACCATTCTTCTTCGAAAATGAGGCTGCTCAGGCAATAACAAAAGAGTGAGTATGTGCCAGCAAAACTGTGGAGGCCATTTACCTGATATATATTCCATACATAACCCTATACTGTATACTTTATGAATAAATAAAAAATTTACAATTTTTAATTATAAACCTGTGTTTTCTATCAAAATTACTTCTTGCATGAATTTTGGGACACCCTTTATAAAGGACACGGGATTTTTTATTTTTTTATTTTATTGATTTTTTACAGAGAGGAAGGGAGAGGGATAGAAAGTTAGAAACATTGATGAGAGAGAAACATCGACCAGCTGCCTCCTGCACACCTCCAACTGGGGATGTGCCGCCAACCAAGGTACATGCCCTTAACCGGGATCGAACCTGGGCCGACACTCTATCCACTGAGCCATACTGGTCAGGGCAGGACATGGGATTTTTATGCATCTAGATCCTAGGCAGGAAATAGAGGCTGGGAATATCTCTTCTTTTCTCCTTGCTGTGAGCCTGCTTTCTTTTCTAGCTTTAAAAAACTACATCTCTGCTTCTACATTCCCCCACAGTAACCAGGTTTATATATTACTAGAGGCCCAGTGCATGAATTCATGCACAGGTGGGGTCCCTCTGCCTGGCCGGCTATTGGGGCTGATCGGGACCATTGAGCCAG